ATGAAACAACGAACTTCAGCCCATTTTATCTGTTGTACGCAAGGTTGCCACTAAGCCCTCTAGACACTTTCTTACCCTTCATTCTACACAATGACGACTCTGTATCAAACATCCTGTGCCTCGCGGAAGAAGCCCGTCGAATCGCTCGTCTTCGTACTCTGGCCTCCTAACGTCGTTCGAAGGAACGATATGACGACCGTCACGAACCGGTTTTATTCGAAAAAGGTGACTTGGTGTTACTTTGGACACCGCAACGCAAGCGTGGATTGTGTCAAAAGCTTCTGTCACGATATTCAGGCCCATTTGTAGTTTTGGAGCGTCTAAGCCAGCTCACTTACGTAATAGCTCGTCTTTTGTCCAATGATCGACGATCGAGCAGAACGCAGCTCACTCACGTGGCTCGCCTGAAACCTTTCCACCCTCCTTGTGCATCATAACTCGCCCTACGGGCTTCGTCTGCTTGCGGGGGAATGTAACAGACTAGAAAATGGTAGAGAGGAGAAGCAGAGGAAGACGAAGAGTCTTGGCACGATCGCAGTGTGCTGCCGCAAACGACCATCGTTCACCTCCTGTAAATAAAACCATCTTATCACAGCTCGCTGTTACAATATATCAAGTAATTCAAAGGTTGATGTGGAAAGACGACTTACTGTGCACGGACAACGCTATATAGTTTCCGCTGACGACAATGAACTGCCTTGACGATTGTACTAAAATGAGGCTACATAAGCCTCATCCCTAATCCCGTATGAAACTCCCATGTGTTAAGTAAAATCCTACAGCCCACGAGTACTCAATTGGAGACACTCGGCTCAGTGGCATCTCTTAGGCTTTGGTTTTGAACAACAGCAATACTTTCCACAAGGCTGAACTAAATACATACCACGAGAAAATATACAAATCAAATTGAAAATAGACCCACACTGAAATAGAACACATAGCGAGAAGTCTGTATGGTGTTCATGGTTCACAGTTAGAAAGGTCAAGTGCTGAAATCAGCGTTAACTGCAGTCATTGCTTCAGGAATCTCACTGATTTAAGAGGGGTACTGGTGTGGGGCCCAATGCAATCGCCCTGTGTTTTGCCAATTCTATCGATACAGCAAGTATGCTGAATACGTATGATTTATCCGATGTCTGATACACTACTGCCATCCACAAGATGCTTGAAATAAGTGCACCACCAGTGCGCTACAAAAGCAACAATTGCAAGTAGTCGATTTCCGTTTATTAATTTGCATTTGTGGCATATATTGCCTCCACCGCCAGCTGCACCCAAAACCACGAGACTGAGAGTAGCCAGCCAAACTTGGAGCCTCTGTTTGCACCGAAACACCGCATCCATTTGACCCTCTCATTCGTTTCCGGTCGATCCAGGGGTCCATGCTTCTGATCCACCACCTTCGAGGGAGAGCGAAAGAAGCCACCCTGCCGCTCACTTTGGGCTCTCAAATAAACAGTCCTTCGGACACCTGTGCCCTGCCGTGCTTTCAGACGTATAACACTGACGACAAGGATGGGATTAAGACGATATATGACTTGGAAGCTGAAAATACGTTGTGTTTATGCTTCTTATGACGTGTTTTTTTCGCTATGAAGCTCAATGAGTTGGAGAAGTATTTTTTTCTTTGAAGCTTATGAAGTCGAAAACTAAAGTCTTCCGCTCATGATCGATGGAATTATGCATCTTCAAGTATTCACTGCTAATTATTCCGTTACAAGCTGAACATTTCATCTGAGCGCCAATTCATGATGGCTAGGTACCAAAATACCGCAACGCTTAATGCATTAAATCCACAATTATATTCTTGCACACCATGACAGCAGCCAACAGAGAGATAATTTAAGACGTATTGTGTGTTGAGTACGGATCCCAGCCTGAATATCTGCGAGGCGAGCTCCAAAACGCGATGGCCTTTGAAAACTTACATCGTAGAAATTCCGGCATTGGTGTCGGCGTCGAAGGCTATGAGCAGAAAATAGGCATTGACCGTGCTCGAACATTCGAGACAGGGCCACGCCAGCCCTGGAAACTGTTTCTTTAAAAACACGCTATAAGAATAACCAGGGTAAAGGATATCATCGTTGAAATCAAGGAGAAGAAATGGACAAGGGCCGGGCACGTAGCACGTAGGCAGAAAAACCAGTGGTCTTTAAGGGTAACTGACTGGATTCCCAGAGAAGGCAAACAACGCATGAAGGGGAGACAGAAAGTTAGATGGGCCTATAAGATTAAAAAGTTTGCAGGTATAACGTGGCAGCAGAAAACACAAGAATGGGTTGATTGACGGATTGTGGGAGAGAGGCCTTTGCCCTGCAATGGGCGTGGTCTGGTTGCTGCTGGTGATGATAATATCCAGTAGTGGAAGGAGTCTGCTTGACGCATGTACCGCTGTGTGATGGTATTGTAGAATTACACAAGTCTTCAAAACACGTGAATCGCGCAACGAGTGGGAGGTTTTAAGCTGCTCGTCAATTGCAAAGCGTGCATCTGCGCGAGTACGCTTGAGCACCTCAGGAACGCGTAATGAGTAATTCGCCAATTTGTAAAAAGAAATAATTATGGCGTTGTGGGCACTTCAGAACTGTATTTGCCGCAGGCATTCTAGGAATGCTTGAAACGGCCAATGTCACGCGCTCAAACGTTCCTTCGCCAGCAACACCGTTGAATGCGATTTTAAAGAGGCCGGATCTTGAAGCCGAAGTTCAAGCGTCCTCCAGTACGTTTTTTAATGTTTTTTTTCCGCATGTCCTCAAATAGGGCATTCAATGAGCGGCCCTCTGACGAAACGACTTCAGCTTGAAAAAAAAAAGAACTCTGTAATTAAAAAAATTGGCAGATCCCACGTACAGTGGGAATTGATAATATACGAAGCATGGATGAGGAAGGTTGATATGTCGCTTTAAAATGAACGCACCGTTATATATGAGACGGACGTAAATCATGCCGTCCATGACTTCCATGTCATGATTATCATATTTGGTCATGTCCTTTACCTTCATGACTATTCATGACCCGGGATACTAAATTTTGTATATGTGGAGCTTGTGAAACGACCGCGCTATGAGCGTCGCATGTAGTCATGTTTTATAAGACACGCATGTAATAAGTATCATGCTTGGACGTGTCATTTACCTTCACCGTTTATTCACGCTACGTGATACCAAATTAGGCATATGTGGAGCTAGCGAAACGGCCGCGAGCGTACTATGGGCGTAGCACGTAGTCCTGCTTTACACGACACGCATGTCATGATTATCATGTTTGGACGTCTCCTTTATCTTCGTTGCCTATTCATGACACGTGATACCAAGTTTGGTATATGTAGAGCTAGCGAAATGGCGGCGAGCGCATGATTGATGAGTATGGCATGTAGTCATGTTTTACACGACACTCATCTCATGATCATCATGTTTGCACCAGTCATATAGCTTCGTCACTCATTCACGTCCCGTAAAACCAAATTTGGTATATCTGAAGCTACCGAAACGACCACGAGCGAGCTATGAGCGTATAGCATATATTCATGTTTCGCATGACACGCATGTCATGATTATCATGTTTGGACGTCTCATTCACCATCGTCATCAATTCTTGTCACGTAATGTCACATTTATATATGTGAAGCTAGCGAAACGGCCGTGAGCGCATCACGAGCGATGCATATAGTCATGTTCTTACATGACACACATGTCATGATTATCATGTTCACACCGGTCATTTACCTTCGCCATCTATTCACGTACCGTAATATCATATTTGGAATAAGTACGTGAAGCTAGCGAAACAACCGCGAGCGCACCTTGAGCGTGGCGAGTAGTCATGACCTACGTGGCATTGATGTAATGATTTTCACGTTAGGGTCTGTCTTATGTTCGCCGTGCTGTCATGTCACACCACACCAGTTTTGCAATATGTCATGTGAACGAAACAACCGCAAGAGGAGCAATACCATGAAATGTAAATCATGACTTTCATCAAATACATGTCATGATAACCATGTTATGACTATGCTCAAGTATGCTCGTAATACAGTCATATTATGTCACACCAAATTTTGCATCAATACCATTAATTAAATGGCCCGGAGAGCTAAAAGTCGTTGGCTGCTAGATAGATAGATAGATAGATAGATAGATAGATAGATAGATAGATAGATAGATAGATAGATAGATATATAGATAGATAGATAGATAGATAGATAGATAGATAGATAGATAGATAGATAGATAGATAGATAGATAGATAGATAGATAGATAGATAGATAGATAGATAGATAGATAGATAGATAGATAGATAGATAGATAGATAGATAGATAGATAGATAGATAGATTCAAAGTTACCGAAGTTCACTGAGAAATGCTTCGCATTTAAAAAAAATCACATCATATCCATGGAGTGAATGCTGATGAGTGGGGAGAAGCGTCCTTCCGTCCGTCCGTGCGTCCGTGCGTATGTCCGTCCCTGCGTTCGTCCCTGTGTTGATGCATACGTCCATCCGTGCGTCTGATCATCCGTGCATCCGTTCATGCGTCCATCCGAGCGTCCAACCGTCCGTTCGTCCGTGCGTCAAACAGAAAGACGACGGACAGACGCGGCCAGCGTATTATTCACGGTTTGCTGATAAAGCTCTCCGAAGCCTCGCCTCACTCATCATCACTCACTCTGTGGATATGCTGTGAGGTGGTTACTAAATACATGCATATATACATGCGACGACCCACCCACACCTTAAAGAGGTTCGCCCCTCAAAGTTCTCAGCTCCAGTGAAGCCCGACAGTGGTTACGAAACTGCTTGACTTTCTTCGTCGCCTTTCCTCGGTGTGTGTCTTCTCATTGCCATATATGGCTGCTGCGAAAGCAACGTATACTTTCGCGAAGAAGCACAACGGCGCGCATTGTGCGAGTGCAACCTACATGACACGCTCGACACGAATCCCGCCTCCACTGTCGCGTGATGCTTCCCCACTATACTCTCGCTCGCGGAATCGTGTGCAGGAAGCGTTCGCAAAAAGGGTCGCACGCTTCGTACTACGTACGCCGTCATTCGCCGACCTGCTGCGGCGCGCGCGTACCGCGCTCCTCTCGTCGTCGACGTCGCGTCAGCCGAGTCACTCGGGCGCGCGGCCTCGCCGGGCGAGCAACCACATCTCGCGCGCATCAATGTCTCCAGCGACGCTCTGGACGCAGCCGCATCGCTGAACAGTTCACCTGCACACCCGTCTGCCTTCCGGCACATTCCTCACCGGTTCCACAGAACACCCCGCTGTAAACTCATTGTCACCAAGCGTGTGCACGCTTCTTTAGCCGTATTCATCTCCCATCTGTTTACATCGCTGTGCTGTAAAGAACTTACTTGCTCAGTCCAGCGGGCAAACTACGAAGACATGGCCGAGTCGTGCTGACATTGTTGCTTTCATGCCAACCATCTGGATACCAGCGTGCCTAAAGGCGGTTCAACGGATCGCAACGCCATGGTAAGTGATCCGACATTTCGGCACTAGGGCCTTTGGAGGAGACCACTGAAAATGTTTCATCATCAGCTGTAACACATAAGCTTGAAAGGACTGTTTACCGGATTTCGTCGAAAGGCTTACAACAATGGAAAGCCTCTAAGAATCAAAACATTACTTGCATCGCCTCGTGCATGCCACGCCCAGTTGCAGCATATGCATATAACTGCCGGTAAACTGAAAAATATGCCTTAATATTACAAGTTAAATATTTCTTCGATTAATATATTTCTACCATTTATGTCAAGGTTGTCTGGCTTGTTGTCACAGTAGAAGAAGCGAATCCAAGAAATAATGATCCTAACGTACCCATGAAGGAGCAGTACACATCTGTATTTTTTTACAGTAATTTAGAAGGATTTCTTGATTCGGCGCACAGGAGAAAGGAAATCGCATGCACATTCGAGTTCCTAGTCCACATTGTCTCCGTTAGCTCAGAAATCACTGCGGATACATGTCTATTTATTTATTTATTGGTCAGTTAGTTTGTTAGTTTCTTAGTTAGTTAGTTAGTTAGTTAGTTAGTAGCATTGGGCACAGATGCTCTGAAAAATACCACGGCATACTGAAATACATGGGTTGGTAGCCTAAAATAGCGATACTGGGATGCATTTTCCTTTGACGTAACAGGATGTTTCAGAGATGTATTTGCAAAAAGAAGGAAAACGTATTCCGGAGTACAGATTCAGTATCTACAATACAGCCTTTTAAATTTCAGAGATGCTCATACTGCGCAAAAATGTATCAAGTGCAGCATAATGTCCTGAACAAGGTTGCAGCGCACGAAAACTTGTAGTTTGTTTGCTGATATATACAGAACTTTGAATGCGATTAAGAGACTACAGCGATGGATGTTGGGGATTACACAGTACATAATTGGTAATAATCACACTATATTAGTGCTAATGTTTGTCATAAAAAGTGCAATGTTTCACAGCAAGAGTAACATGCATTGAACACAGAAATCGTCATATTTTGAAAACAATGTAATCTTTGCTATAGAAGTAGCACAGTTCAAGCGAAACCACTCAAATGGCTAACAAACACCTAGTGAATTGAGAAAAAGTATTCTTTCATTGTGCGCATAAGATCTGTTTTGCTGAGGAGGCTGCTGTGTTAGTCGCACTTAAGGAACAGGCGCTTCTCAAACAGGCTGTGCTCTTGACAACGTCTCCTCGGACTGAACACAAGAGTCACAAAATAAAAGTATCTCTAACGCTGCAGACGAGTGAAAGTTTGTGTTATAGACAATATATGCTGTCTTCATAGCCGAATAGTCTTGCGGCGTGGCAATATCTCTTCTCGGGTCACCTAGGTATACCGAGACACTTCCGCCCTACCGTCTGCCAATCCTGCAGTGGTTGCTGAGAAGCTGAAGTTGGTCCCCATCTTCGCAGTCTTCAGCCGATTGGCCTGGTCGCGCCGCACCAGACGGGTGCATGATTACCTTGCCCATGTACTATAGCTGGTCATGGTTACCTGCGCGCAACGAAGCCCAGTATGCCAAAACGGCGCACTTTGAATCCTGGATTCTTAATATGACGTTCTTCAAAGTGCGAGGGTTCAAGCCGCCTCAGCGCATTCTTGACAGTTCCTTAACGTACGTAAAAACAGAAACAGCTGCGCAGAGTGCACGATCAGAAAGTATACCGCGAGCGCCCGTCGCCTAAGCTAAGGTCACTGCCATCACCACCGCCGCTACCAACACCCATTCAGGCAAGCCAGAGCAACCGAAGTCGGTTCCAACGGTCCGGAATCCTGGAAGTATATAAAAGGCAGTTTCACGCCTGTAAATCAACGGGGAAGGGCCTGTCACACTGAAGGGGTGGCTGTAAGCATGTAAGCGGGGCAAAGATAGCTATTTTACAGCCACTTCCCCCACGCCAATAGGAACTGATTTCGGAAGTGCCGCTGCTCTATGAAGTGAACGCATGCGAAGCGTTGCAATGCCTCCCTTTCATTACGGTATTCGGCCATTAATCATCAAGTAATGTCCTGATCACTAAGATATATATGTTTTCTGGAGAAATGCGAATATGCCCAAAAAACGCGACAAGCGACAGAAAATCTACAAGGAATTTGGCGAAAAAAAAACGATGAAGAAACCCAAATCGGATTTTTGTGAACTGCAACTCTGAAGGGGAAACCATCGCCGCCCTTCCTGTGTCAAGGCCGGCGGCGTGAAAGCAAGAGCTTCATTCCCCCTTTGTCGGCTGATTTCCGGCAAAAACAAATAATGTAACGAGATACCCGTAACGAAGACAGCAATACCGACAAAATCGATACATCGTGAAGCTGTTTCACTACTGAAATACTAATAAATTTTTCAAATCAACCTCGATTCATAGTTTCAAGTACTGAAAAGCATCCCTCAAATACTGTCGCAATACTGCCCAGCCCTGTTAGTTGAGTTCAGTTGGTTAGTTAGTTAGCTAGTTAGTTTGAGTACGACAACACTTTTCGTGCACCTGATGTACAGGAGAAAGTGGGAGTCAGTTAAAGACTTCTTTTCTCTGTATAGGTTGCTATACTGTCACTCGAAGTGAGTCAAAGCGCAGCTTCCGCGGGAACCACGTTTTGGTGTCACATTATAGCCCCGTAGGGCTTCGGATGTCCACGGGAGGTATATTTGCAGTCCGTCGGGACGAAAATTTGTCGCAATTTCAGAATATTTATGGTAATTTTGATTTTTAAAATCCTGTGGATCTGTCCTGATCTGTCATATATCGCGCTTTTTTGCGTGTGCCTGGCGAAGAATAAGAGGCGACAACAACGTTAAGATACTACACTATCAATTGATTCCATAAAGATTAGCTTGAATATCTAAGGGTTACGTCGAAATCTTAAAACAAAAACCAAGAGAATGTCAAGAAGGCATCCTCACCTGATTTTGCGTATATCAAAGTGTTGTATATGGTGAGCACTTTTTTTTTTTGCCGTATGGTACAAAACACAACATCAAATACAAAATGGAGGTACATTTCGACTTGAACATTCGCACATATCCTGGGTGACTCGGTCGGTTAGGTGACCTGTAAGTACTTACGGCTATAGGCCACATACCTGCTATATGGTGGCATATTCCTGTGCTCAGGATTGCCACTTGGCTACTTTTCGCCAAATTGGCGAATTTGAGAGGCCCGTGGCGACATAAAATTATGAATGACAACATAGCAAAACCTTGGTGATTTTCTGCTTAGGTCTTGACTGTACTCAGTGTCTTCAAAACGAATGGGTGACAACATTTTTTCTAATTTTTGTATTTTGAGACCCACCAGTAGAAGACACACCCTACGCGCAATTGAGTACGTCTGTCCTGTTTTTCTTGTGCATCTCCTAACCCAACCAGATTGATTGATATGTGGGGTTTAACGTCCCAAAACCACCATATGATTATGAGAGACGCCGTAGTGGAGGGCTCCGGAAATTTCGACCACCTGGGGTTCTTTAACGTGCACCCAAATCTGAGCACACGGGCCTACAACATTTCCGCCTCCATCGGAAATGCAGCCGCAGCAGCCGGGATTCGAACCCGCGACCTGCGGGTCAGCGGCCGAGTACCTTAGCCACTAGACCACCACGGCGGGGCTAACCCAACCAGATGCTGGAGGCGCTCGCACTCTAGTGCAGGAACCCCCAAGCAAAATGTATATGAACTGCTTCACATGCCGCGAGGCAGTGGTGTTACACTAATTTTTTAGGTGCTTTAAGAGCTTTAAGCTTCCTCAAATGTCGCTTCTGAAATAACTAGGTGACAGTTAAGCTGCGTGTTGCGACTACAGCACGAATTGTCCTGAAAAGCTTCTCAACTGCTCTACTGCTGCAGTACCCCCTAAATTCGTGTGTAGTTATATTTGTTACTAACACACTTTTAAAGGGGGTGAGTCAAGAAATAGAATTCTTTAGGCAATCTTAAGAACTTCAGAAACTGCACTGAGGCGAATGCGTAGCATAAGCATGCATGAGCGCACAAAAAGCGTAGTGCGGGCATTGCGACGGGTATGCGGTACTTTCGACTTTATAAGTGTTGTTTTATTGTAATTAAGTTGTTTGATTATCGGATACACTATTCCACTGCGATGAAATTCTCTAAATCTGCAGGAGGGCTATGGACCGAATCTTTTATGGTAGCACCTGCTTCGGCCTGTATTCGCTACAACTAAAACCAATATAAAGGTTTTGTTGTAAGACGCTAGCATTCAGGAACGTTGCTGGGGTATGCATGCCCTTTCTCTGTGCTCTCTAGGGGAAGCGGCTGATGCGACTGACATTGAAAAACGTCAATATAATTGAGAGGTTGTAGATGGTATTGTCACGAACAAAACAAGACCCGCAGCCAGGAGTTCACTTGAACCAGAGCAACGAAGATGTTCTCTTCTTCTTCGCGCCCAAAAACGCGTATGAGCCACTGTGGCTCTTTTATCAATGGTGGCATTACCCCCTCTCCCAAGAAGCATCGTCTCGATGCTGTACATGAAGGCAAAAAAAAAGAAAAGAAAATTAAATGAAAATTAGCATGCGAGCAAAATGAATGGCGTAAGGCGGAATAACGTAGTTGGTTGTGGGGCAAGAGTTAGAGAAATAAGAAAAATGGGAAAAGTGTAAGGAAAGGACGAAACAAAAAGAAAGACGCGAAGTTACTAATAAAGTCAGTCACTCTCTGGCGATTCACAGCGCGAAAAGTATGGTTTGAGACGTGAAACGTGAATGACTTCAGTTTGCGGGTTGAAACGGGAACGTCTCGAATTGCCTTGTGGGAGAACCTCGTAAGTGACGTCACTGAGACGTCGCACAACCTTGTAAGGGCCGAAGTAGCGGCGAAGAAGCTTTTCGGAACGTCCACGCTGTCGGATAGGGGTCCACACCCAGACTTCATCACCTGGCTTAAAAATTACTTCACGGTGGCGAAGATTGTAGCGGCGCGCGTCTGCGGTTTGGTTACGTTGAATGCGGTGACGAGCAAG